GAAAGAAAGAAAGAAAGAAAGAAAGAAAAGAAAAGAAAGAAAGAAAGGTGACTGCTTCCAGACTGATTCCGTACACAATCCCTCATCTCCCAAACTTCTTTTCTTTCAGAGATGGCCTTCGAATTCCCCTTCCCAACCTGGGCACTTCTCTTCAGACATGACGGTGTGGCAGAGGGAGAGCAGCCGGAAAAACTCGTGGACGTGGAGGTCACCCAGCTTGACCGCTTCCAAAAGTCCGGTGTCCCAGAAGGTAAACGTGGGATCGGCCAGTGAGTTGAAGGAAAAATCCACAGGATCCGTTTTCTTTTGAGGAAGGAAGAGGAGAAATAGGCAGTTAGAACCAGCTTTGGAGTGTACAAAAAATTATAGGCTTTCATGCCTAAGGCAGGACTAGAACTCCCCGTCTCCTGGTGATTGGCCCAAAGTCACCCAATCAGCTTTCATGCCTTAAGGCAGGACTAGAACTCCCCGTCTCCTGGTGATTGGCCCCAAGTCACCCAATCAGCTTTCATGCCTTAAGGCAGGACTAGAACTCCCCGTCTCCTGGTGATTGGCCCAAAGTCACCCAGTTGGCTTTCATGCCTAAGGCGGGACTAGAACTCCCCGTCTCCTGGTGATTGGCCCCAAGTCACCCAGTTCGCTTTCATGCCTAAGGCGGGACTAGAACTCCCCGTCTCCTGGTGATTGGTGCAAAGTCACCCAGTTGGCTTTCCTGCCTAAGGCAGGACTAGAACTCCCCGTCTCCTGGTGATTGGTGCAAAGTCACCCAGTTGGCTTTCCTGCCTAAGGCAGGACTAGAACTCCCCGTCTCCTGGCGATCGGCCCAAAGTCACCCAATCAGCTTGCATGCCTTAAGGCAGAACTAGAACTCCCCGTCGCCTGTTTCCTTGCCCTAACCACTAGACCAAAGTGCCGGCGTATTACCTTTCCCAGCTCAGCCTTGTATCCAAGATCATCCAATGCATCGCCTACCAAAAAAAAAACCCAAACAAACCGAGGCTCAGAATTGGGGGGGAAAGAGGACGCAAACCGCCCATCCTTCCAAATAAAGGCAGTCCTCAACTTAGGACGCTAATTTCGCCCAGAATGATGGCACCGAGACGACCGAGGGACGGAAGGCTCACCGTAGCTGCGCCCGTTGATGGAGCACTTGCTGAAGACCATGATGTTCTGGGTTAGGGTCCCCGTTTTGTCCGAAAATATATATTCCACCTGTCCCAATTCCTCGTTTAGCGTCGTGGTCCGGGCTTCGGCCGGCGTGCACCGTTTCCCGCAATACATTTTCTTGTCCCAGTTGATGAAGTAGCTGTGACCCAGACGGATCACCTCCACACTGCCGGAAAGAAAGTGGGGGCCGTTGGGAACCCCTGAAACCCACTGAAAGGAGGCCCCCAAACCCCTTAAGGCCATTTCTCTCTCCCCACCCTTGGTTTAATTTATTTTTTATCGGTTTGTTGACCTTCTATGCCGCCCACTCGCAGCTTGTGGTCGTGTGATAAAAATACAGCCTATCCAACGTTAAAACGATAAATAAAGACCACAAATTTAAAATTCAGCTTTAAAAACGATGGATGGATGGACGGACAGATGATAGATAGATAGATAGATAGATAGATAGACAGACAGACAGACAGACAGACAGACAGACAGATGATAGGGGTAGGTAGGCAGATGATAGATAGATAGATAGATAGATAGATAGATAGACAGATGATAGATAGATAGATAGATAGATAGATAGATAGATAGATAGATAGATGGATGGATGCATGGATGATAGGGGTAGGTAGGCAGGTGATAGATAGATAGATAGATAGATAGATAGACAGACAGACAGATAGATATATAGATGATAAAGAGATAGATAGACAGACAGGCAGGCAGGCAGATAGATGGATAGACAGACAGACAGATGATAAAGAGGTAAATGGATAGAGAAAGAGCTGCCAATCGGATTGGTTTTCTGGGAGGGTCCAATGACAAGAGCTGTTTGCCCCTCAGCCTCAGTCTCCTGAGTTCTAAGATAGAGTGCTCCTACCCATGGAGACTCTCTTCTTTTGGGTTGATATGCTTCCTGGGCATCCTTATTTCTTTTTTCAGGGTGAGGGTCTGCTTGAGTGAGTCCACAGGAAATGAGCAATCCATAAAAGAACAGCCCCCTCCCCCCCGGGAGGGTTCGATGAATGGGGTGGGCAGGGGGGCCTGATTTTGCCGCGACCTTGGAAGGAAGGAGGAAGGGGATGGGGGGGGGGGGGGGGAAGGGAGGCAGGAAATGCCACAAGCCAACATCAAAGGGAAATTCGGTTCCCACCCAGAGTTTTGTAAAAACACGGGAAGGAGATTTCTTACCTGGGGGCTACAGAGTGAGAGAGAAACAGTCATGCAGGAAAAAAAACAAAAGGAAAAGAGATTTTTTAAAAAAAGAGAGAGAAAGGAAAGAGGAGAGGAGAGAAATGAGGAGAGCAGAGATGAGGAGACTAGAAGATGGAAGGCAAGGAAGGGAAGGAAAAGGAGAAGAGAAGAGAAGAGAAGAGAAGAGAAGAGAAGAGAAGAGAAGAGAAGAGAAGAGAAGAGAAGAGAAGAGAAGAGAAGAGAAGGGAAGGGAAGGGAAGGGAAGGGAAGGGAAGAGAGAAGAGAAGAGAAGAGAAGAGAAGAGAAGAGAAGAGAAGAGAAGAGAAGAGAAAATGGAGGAGAGGAGAGGAGAAGAGAAGAGAAGAGAAGAGAGAATGGAGTAGAGTAGAGTAGAGTAGAGTAGAAGAGAAGGAGAAGGAGAAGGAGAAGGAGAAGGAGAAGGAGAAGGAGAAGAGAAGAGAGAATGGAGTAGAGTAGAGTAGAGTAGAGTAGAGTAGAGTAGAGTAGAGAAGAGAAGAGAAGAGAAGAGAAGAGAAGAGAAGAGAAGAGAGAAAAACGGTGAAGAAACCAGAAGAGATGAGAGGAGAGGAGAGGAGAGGAGAGGAGAGGAGAGGAGAAGAGAAGAGAAGAGAAGAGAAGAGAAGAGAAGAGAAGAGAACAGAACAGAACAGAACAGAACAGAAGAGAGAATGGAGTAGAGTAGAGTAGAGTAGAGTAGAGTAGAGTAGAGTAGAGTAGAGAAGAGAGGGGAAGGAAAGGAAAGAGGAAAGGAAAAGGGAAGGAAGAAAGGAAAGGAAAGGGGAAGGAAAGGAAGGGAAGGGAAGGAAGTAAAGGAAAACTTCAGCTCAAAAGAGAAAAAAAAGGAGGCCCACCTGACGTAGAGAGAGATGGGAACTACGGTATTGAGGATGATGATGTAAGACCAGAAGGCCAGGAACCCGGACAAGAAGGCATTGTCCACCACTTTGTCCCACGGCAAATAAATCTGGAAGCACACGCCCACTTCGTATTCCCAAATGGAATTGCCGATAGCCAGGATCACCCCCATGCAGACCAGGAACCCGAAAATCTGCCGGTGGGAAATCACAGATCGGTTTGGACACAGGAGAAAGGGGAGAAGCAAGACGGTCTTTCCTCTTTGTCCACTCTTATCTCCTGTCCCTTTTATTTTTAATCGCGATGTGGTCAATTCCCACATTTGAGGAGGTCAATTTCAACAGTTGAGTTTGGACAAAGGAGCAGAAAGGAAGAAGCTGCAAGATGCCGTTTCCTCTTTATCGCCACCTATATGAAGTTCCCCTCTATTTTTCTGGCGGTTTTCATCCCCAGGTGGTCAATTCCACATTCCAGGGTATCAATTTCAATACTTCCCCTTTGAATAAAAGGAGCAGAAAGGGAGAAGCTACACGGCGTCCCTCTTTGTCCCCACCTACACGAATTCCCTTTCATCCCTTTTATCGTGTCCCTTGTCATCCCCCTGTGGTCAATTCCACGGGTCAAGCGGTCAATTTCAAGAGATTCTGGATTACAACTTCAAATCCACTCAGGCATTGCCGTCGGGCAGCTTTGAGGAATCCAGAATGGTGGTGAAGGACAGAGAGCCAATTTCCCCGGATTGAGATGGAAGGAAATTAATGAAGTCCAGTAAAAATCCACTTTCCTACATTCTGCGGACGACCACCCTGCAGAGCGGGACAAAGGACTTGACTGCCCCCTGGTGGAGCATTCCCAGAAAATTCTCTGCCTCTGTTTCTCATCCCGGAAACTAAAAGAGCGCTCAGTGTCTACCCCATGCCCGAGAGCTGGGAGTACTGGATTTGAAACATGGGCACGGAAGGGGAGGGGCTCACGTACCCAAAGCACCAAAGTATTCATCAAACGGTCAATGCTAGTCCTCTTGAATTTCGTGCGGCCGCTGTTTTGCATTAATTTGGTATCCGGCCCTGCCGAAGGAGAGAACCAAGAAGTAATTTTTGCCTCTCCCATTTCTGAATTTATTTATTTTTATTTCGTTATTTCTTGAATTTATCGGACGCCCATCTGGTAATGAAACGAATCTGGGCGGAGGGTCAAATTAATTTTAAAAGGTTTTTCCCCCCCCAAAAAACCAGCACTGCGAATAAGCCATAGATAGATTAACAGAGTTGGAAGGGACCTTGTAGGTCATCTAATCTAACCCCGCCCGTCCGCCCAAGCCGGAGACCCGACATCATTTCCGACAAATGGCTTAAGGCCAAGGAAAACATTTACAGCTATTCCTCGACTTATGGCCACCGTTTTTGCGCCTAAGCAGGGTGATTGTTAAGGTGGTGGTCTTATTTCTTTTTGGGGTGTGTGTGCTATTTAGCGACCACAGGCAGTTATTAAATGAATCAGGCAGTCATTAAGTGAATCCGGCTTCCTCCGTTGACTTCGCTTGTCAGAAGCCGGCTGGGAAGTTCGCAAAAATGGCGATCGTGTGTCTCCAGGGCCGTCGTACGTAAACACGAATGCCAAGTGCCGTTAAGCGAGGAACAAGTTGTTAAGCAAATCCGGCTTCCCGTGTCAGAAAGTCACAAAAAGGGGATCCCATGAGCCCGGGGATGCTGCGACCGTCATAAATACGGGTCAAGTCTGAATTTTGATCATGTGACCTCGGGGGGGGGGATCGCTGCAATGGTCGTAAGCGCGAGGACTGGTTGTAAGTCGCCTTTTTCGTTGTAATTTGGATCGGTCCCTAAACAAATGGTCGTAAGCTGAGAACTAACCGGACTTAGATTTGGTAAAGACAATTCAGAATTTCTCTGTGATGACCCAGGGTCGGATACAAAACACACACAATCACAAAAACAGGCGAAGCCCCTTTTTATTCCTTCACTTTGCTACAAAGCTCCAAATATCCTTGACTGGAGACACAAAAAACTCCCCCACAAGCAGTTACAAGGAGGAGGAAATGTCCTTTAAACTAAAAATGCCTATAAACTATCAAGAGTAAAAATAACACAAACCACACTGAAGCAATGAAGGGAACCAGGCAAGATAAGGGCTTGAAGACGTCCACAGAGATCAGAACACACACTGGGAAGGACGCCAAACTCAGAGAGGAACGACAGACTAGAGATATTTCCACGCTTTGTTTCCAGCACTGGCCCATAAGCCTGTCCGTCCTTTTAACCAGTTCTCACAGCTGCAGCCCATGAAGGGGATCAAGGCCCTCTCCTCCCCCATAGACCACGCCATTCACATTTCTCCCTTATCCTCTCCTCCTTGCATGCCCTAAAATGGAGAGAGGATGGGCCTGGGTCCTCCTATGACTGCTCTGTCGGCCTCTGCCCTTCCCCAGCCTCCTCCACAACCTCCGGAGCCACACTCCCACTCCCCGTCGGCTGTTCCTCCTCTCCCTCGGAGTCAGTCTCCGCCAGGGGCAGGACATTCTCCATAATTTTACCCCCCTGCCTTTTTTTCCCCCAAATTCGGTCCCTGATATTCAGATTATCTGCCCCCCAAAGCTTTGTGTCTCACCTCCTGGCTTGGAAGAGACACCTGGCACCCCCGCCCTCCAATACCTGCGAAGATGACCAGGCCGAAGCACCACTCTGTATTACGAAGGACGCAACCTCGCAACAACATGTTTTGGTTGCTCAGGGAGTATTTGTTGTCTTTCCAGTACAGCGTCCCGCTGAATTTGTCGAGTTTATTGTTAGGGGGCTCGCAAATCACCTCTCCTGAAATTTTAAAACAAAACAAAAACAAAAATCGACAAAGAGGTCAGTTACAGCTAGTCCTCGTTTAATGAGGGTCATTGAGGCCAGGATTTCCGTCACTAAGGGGTGCGGCAGTGAAACATGACGTCCTGTGGCTGCACTCTTTAATGAATGCAGTTGAGGCATTGTTAAGTGAGGACTGCATTGGCCACTGAGGGAGAATTTCGACTTCCCGCAGGCTTGTCCACTGAATTTGACTCGGCGGGGAAAGTCACAAAACACGGTCACAACACGGTACACTGAGAGCATTTGCACCGAGACAAATTCCCTGTGTGTCCAACCACACATAAAAGAATTCTAAATCTTCTAAAAAATTCAAAATAATATGCCATCTTAAAAATGAATTTTACCATCAAAATGCGCTAGGTTGTTGGTGTCAGTCAGCTCGGATGTCACTGGGATAGCTTGTCGGACTTTCATATTGGTCTCCCTGTGGAGAAAAGTGGTTTAATCATGGCCAGGAAGGGAGAAGGTGGTCTCTCAGGGGTTTCTTTAAGGCACTGTTTCTCTTAACATGAAAACTTTTAAGAACTCTGGACTTCCACAATTCTCCGCTTTCTCTGAAAATTGGCGTCTTTAAAGTCCTGCGAACTTCAACTCCCAGAATTCCCCAGTGGTTGAGGAAGCTGAAATCCTCAAGTCTTAAAAGTCACAAAGGTTCAGAAACTGGGGGATTCTGGGAGTTGAAGTCCACAGGTCTTATAACTGCCAAGTTTTTTAAAAAACTGGGGGATTCTGGGAGTTGAAGTCCACAGGTCTTATAACGGCCAAGTTTTAAAAAGACTGGGGGATTCTGGGAGTTGAAGTCTCCATATCTTAACATCACCAAGTTTCAGAAACTGGGGGATTCTGGGAGTTGAAGTCCACCTAACTGAAAGTCACCAAGTTTCAGAGATATTGTTTGAAAAGACCAGCCAGAGCTAGCCTAACACTTACCCATCCAGCTCGGCCGTCTCGATATAACAAAGTCCGTGAGGTTCGCTGCTGGACAACAGAAGCAGATCAGCCTGGATTTGGGCAAGGAGAAAATGTTCTTTTAAAAAAAAAATCAAATCTTGATTTCGGTCATTGACTAGCAGAACGATAAACTTGCAATCCAATCTTAGATCAAAACGTAGCCAGAAACGCCGGGCTTGGACGTAAGTTTGGAGCAGATAGGAGAACATCAACTGTTGTTTATTTTCACTTAAGATCATTCTTAAAACTAGAATTATTGAGGTTCCTATTAAGGGTCACCCCCTCCTTCCAATTAAATCTGGATTTCTGAATTGATCCGGGTTAGACCAAAGATGTCTAAGCCGAGGGGAAAAAAATCTTAAAATCTAAAATTTTCAGCTTTTAAGGACTTGGAGAGACGATTAGGAAATGGTCTACAGCAGGGGTGTCCAACCTTGGCAACTTTAAGACTTGTGGACTTCAACTCCCAGAATTCCTCACAAGTCTTAAAGTTGCCAAGGTCGGACACCCCTGGTCTACAGGGAAGGAGAGGGCCTTGATCCCTTCATGGGCTGCAGCTGTGACAACTGAATAAGAGTTTGGACCTGCGTACTGGCAAACGCTGGAAACAAAGCGTGTTTTATTTTGGTCGGAAGTTATCTTGGTTGGCAGTCCTTCCAACCGACTGTGCCTTGTTATCGCCTTGAATTTGGTAAATATTTCCCTTGTTCTGTTGTGGAAATTTCATCATTGTAGTTCGTTTGGATTTTTTTTTTTTTTAATTTCACCTCTATCTGCTCATTCAATTCGGACGGCATTGCTTTCTTTTGAAGACTAGTTTTGAATAAGTTTTATCTCCAACTGAGAATTATTTGAACAGTGGGGCCAAGTTGGAGGCATTAAAGGACATTTATTTACGTTTTGGATTTCGTTACGGTTTGTGTTACGCTCCAGGTCAACACCGCTCCCATGTGATTTTAGCAGCAGCTTAAAGATTATTTGGCAATGAGGAAAAAAACAAACACAGCCTGATAAGATACGAAGGGAAAAATTAGAACAGATTACCCCATACCTTAGACCCAGGAACATCTCTCGCAATGGAAAAAGATAAGATTTTTTTTTTTTAAAGCTATTGGCTTTTTTGATAAACTGGAAAGTTCCCAAACGTTTCTCCAGGATTTGGCTGCAGGAGAAATCCCTGACTAATTCAGGGATTTCTAATATACTAATATAGCTGGTTTAGAGGTAGTCCTCAGTTTACGACTGTAATTGAGCTCAGAATTACGTTCCTAAGTCATACCAGTCATTAAGTGAGTCGCCATTGGACAAATTTTATAACCCTTTTTTGCAGCGGCTGCTAAGTGAATCCCCCACGGTCATTAAGCAAACAAGGAGGTCATTATGTGAATCCATTGTTTGCAATGAGATGGAAATCAGAAGTAAATACCAGTTTCGAGAGAGAGAAAAAATGGTAAATTGCAGCCGATCTAAATTTGAACGAAACTTAAATGAAACGTAAATGAATCAAATGAAATGCAATGGAATTCAAATGAAATTTAAGTGCAATTTAAATGAAATGTAACTGAATTCAAATAAAATTTAAGTTCAATTTAAATGAAATGCAATGGAATTCAAATGAAATTTAAGTGCAATTTAAATGAAATATAACTGAATTCAAATAAAATTTAAGTGACATTTAAATGAATTGCAATTGAATTCAAATGAAATTTAAGACATTTAAATGAATTGCAACTGAATTCAAATGAACTTTAAATGAATTGCAACTGAATTTAAATGAACTTTAAATGAATTGCAACTGAATCCAAATGAAATTTAAATGAAATGCAATTGAATTTAAGTGAAATTTAAATGACAGCCTCTCTCCCCATATTCTGCCCCCCCCTTCCAATTCTGGCAGCTTCTGTGCTTTCGTCCACCGTCCATAACACACGGACTTACCGCAACAAACTGGTTATTTTCTAATTTTATGATATCACCAACACGGACATTCATCCATTCCTCCTTCTGGAGGCTGGCAGCGGCGGCGAAAGGAGAAGCAAAGGCAGGAAGGAATAAAATAAAATTTTTAAAAAGGAATAAAACATCGAGGAGGATAAAAATCTGCCTTGTTTTTTTTTTTGCTTCGTGGGTTTCCAATTCCCCGCACGGGAGCCGGCAGAGCCTCCATGCTTCAGTGCAGTCTACCTTCAAACGCCAAGGACCTCGCGCGGAACGGCTTTATAGATAAAGACAGGAGTTTTGGGGCCAGAGAATGGCAAATCTAGCCTCTTGGGTGGAGAATTTTTGAGGAAAAATATATATATTTCCCCACCCCACCAATGGTTTATCAAAAAGAGGCAGCCCTCAATGTACAACCCCGATCGAGCCTCCCAATCGCTTCCGTTGCTAAGTGAGTTTTGCCCCATTTAATGACCTTTTTTTGTTAATTACTGCAGCTATTATAAATCCATAACATGGTCGTTTAAGCGAATCGGGGTGTTTTTTTCCCCCCCCCAGCACCGTTGTAACTTCAAACCGTCGCTAAATGGAACGGTCGTAAGGCGAGAATCCCCCCCTCCTTCTCCTCCCTCCCTTCACAGACCGTACTCACATCCCGTTGATTAAAACTTGGGAATGGCGGCTGTTCACCTGGTTATCGCTCTTGTGGCGAAACTGTGGGCGGAAACAACAGGGTGGCGGTGGGTCAAAGCCAGTATTCGAATCCAAGATACCCCCCCCACCTCGCCCGAGATTACGGGCTCGATTCACACACACACACACACACACACACATATCCTGCCCCCCAAAATTGTGCCCCTTGCAGGTTTAAAACTGAACAAGTTTTAAAGTTTGGTGCTTGGCAAGGAACCGCCATTTTTCCCCCCTAATCTGGATGAATAACCCCGTCGTTAAATAGAACAAGGGGGATTCTGCTGGGTTTGCGAGGCTCTGGGGGGGTTCCAATGACCCTCCCCGGTCGTAAAACAAATCGCACTGTCCTTAAGCAAATAGTGCGGCCATTCGGCAAATCCACGCTTCCGAAGGGGTGTGGATTGCCAGAAATCAGCCCAAAAAAAAAAAAGAAAAGGGTCACAAAAATTGTGAACTTGACAACGCTGCCGCAGATTTTTCTGCATTTCTGTTCTTCTGCTATTCTTTTTCCTTCCTTTCCTCCCTTTCTTTCCCTTCTCCACTTCCTTCCTTTCTGCTTTCCTTCCTTTCTTCCCTGCCTCCCTCTTCCCCATCTCCACTTCCTTCCTTCCTTCCTTCCTTCCTTCCTTCCTTCCTTCCTTCCTTCCTTCCTTCCTTCCTTTTTCTTCCTTCCTTCTCTCCCTTCCCTTCCC